AACAATATATATAAGATAAACTACATTTGCACACATACATTTCCATCTCTGATAGAAAATGCCCTGTCTGTGATCTTGGAGAAATTGAAGATGAGAAACATTTCCTTTTCACGTGCCAGCTATATGATAAAGAAAGAACCAGTCTTTTTACTAAACATAAAATGTATGGAGAGACATTAATAAACATATTAAATAATAAAAACGATCACATAATTAAAGACGTTTCAAAACACATTTATACTTGCTTTATGCTTAGGGAGGAAAAAACCAAACAATAACTTCAGTACCAGCTGCCTCAAAAAAACCCACAGATTTACATTATATTACAATTATTCAGTTATCTCTTATTGTGAGATATGTATTTATTTCATTCATTTACAGTATTTCCTTTCCTTTTCATTTTTTTTTATTATTACATGTTTTTGACTTTATTGTATTTTATGTCAAGATCTCAAATGGGATACGATAGCAATAAAGAATTACTTACTTACATAGGACAATGTGTACAGAAGTAAAGAAATTAATGTGCTACACGAGATAAAATGGTCAATCGCGGAGCATTTACAACAATTAAATAAATAAGAATGATATATGGACCCCAAGGTTAAGACCAAGAAGTGAAATCAGGTGTTTGAAAAAGAGTGAGCATATCTTGCTCCTACTACCGCCATATGGCAATCTAAATAGTCATTCATGAAGGAACTTTCTACATAGGACAAATGATGTTAAAACAATCGTAGATCTTCTGCCTAGGTGATTTGTTCTATTATGTCACCAGTGCATTACATCTGTAAGAGTGATTGAAGTTTTTGAATGTGACAGCACACTACACTTCTGACAGCTTTGACCCATTCTAACAGTGTGTCAGCTTCAACCTTCTTCCTTTTAGCCCATTTATTAGCATACTCAGAGTCTATGATTTTCAAATTCTACCGCCAATTGATTTTTTCGAGGTTCTCTAAAGTTTGGCCTATTAGTCCGTGACTAATTTATTTATACGTTTCAATATGATAATTTACTATGAAGAGGTCGAAAATAGTTTATCAAAAATAACAAAAAGGTACAAATACAGAATTGAAATTATTTTCACCACCATGTCGAATATAAAAGACAATTCCAAAAGGAAATAAATGATGGGTGGCATTTGGACAAACATCAATAGCAAATCACTTCAATCGATTTACTAGTTGAATTGACAATGTGTCCGTTAATGTCCTTTGTCATATTGGTGTAACGCACAATTTGTACACACGGTATAAAGATATCCATGTAGATACATAGATATATTTGATATTACATAGTGCATCATACAGGATCAGATCCTGTTCAATACGTGTGCTTTGGTAAACATAACATTAAACATACATTAATTAAATAATTATTGAACATTGTTCTTTTCTTATTTCCTTGCAGAGCCGTAGGTGATGAATATCCATTCTGTCAAATCCCTTGAACATTCACTACTACAGTATCCACAGTTAAATTTGAAACCATGTTATTTCATCACGTGATTTTATAATTATTAGTCAATAAAACTGAGCATGTAATATCTTAATATGCCTGCACTATATTATGTTATTGCTATTAGTGGAACAGTATAACTTGCATAATTATATAAGGCATGCATTCAGTGACGAAGAATTATTTGTGTAGATATCCCACACAAATCTATCATGAAGTATAGGAAATGTATAATAACAATTACTAAAGTCATCTTGAAGAAGAGCTCCCTTCTTCTCTAAAATCACTAAAATTTGAGCCACTCCAGTATCTTAAAGCGCGGTGGTCGTCGTTCATGTAAACAAACAATGTGTTTTACACGCGTTGTATACGTCGCTATGAGTCCCATGACGCGGCACGACGACTGCCCTTTAAATATATATGAAGGCCGGATTATTTCTCAAAGACTGTACACTGAATCAGTAAATGGTGTAGATTGGGAGGGAGTATAGGCCATGGTTTGACAGTTTCCTTTCTGTCCAAGCTAGCAAAATGAGATGACCATTATACCGGTAACACTATTTTAGATCAATTCTTGTACCACTGACACTACCACATCATCTGATTTTTGACTTCTCCTTTATCATAAATTATGATATTGTCAAGTAGGAAGAGTCAACATTGAAAGATCAAATGCAAAATGCCACAAGTCATGTTACGAAACATATATATTTTGTAGAAATATTGATATCAGCCTTCATACATCAATGGTGTCGATAACTGACAAAATAACCAGAACAATTTTCAATTTAAAACCAGACGAGTCATAGAGACTGTGGATCATTTTATAGCCAGACAAGATTGGCAGATATTGTATGTTCGAGTAACATCAGTGTGAGGCAGACAAACGACATGGGAAAATAACTGCTGGTAATTATATTGATAGCATACCTAAAGACCAGGTACTTCACAAGGCTTTTCACAAGCATACTGCAAAGACATAGAACAAATTGAAATGACAATAGAGCCTAGTATAAGTTCATTTGTTCTACTCTCCCTTCAGAAACAAGGATGCTTTCGATTCAGCTCAGGTTATAAGTCAACAGATGATTACAGAAAAAAGTAACACCCGTCGAATGCATTATTTATTTTTGTAAACATGTTATATCATCATTTCACATTGATGTAATGGAACAATTTGATGATAAATGTGATAGTAGGTACCCCGTGAACAGTTTTCTTCATTGCTGGTGCAGAAAATCAGATATCACAAACACCAGGTGATATTGTTCCACCAGGTTTTATTCAGAAAATGGAAGGAGGTGGTCTCATTCTAGAGGGATCAGATAATATTATAAAAATACATAACACTTTCCAAAACTATGTTTTATGGCTTAGATGGGGTTCATATCAGGTATCCTTTCATTGCCTGTACTGGAAAGAGATGTGCTGATGGTGGTTTTAAAATTTTAAGGATCAGGTACATATGTGTCTGACACAGTAGAGAATATGGTGACTGGAAGACATTTCTATCAAGCCACAAAAGAATTGACGCTTGCACATAGGGCTCATATTCAGGTCTCAAACAAACTTTCTGCACTGGCAGCAAGAACATCACATAAATGCTAGCGTGAAAAAAAATCATTATTTAGTTATGTGACATTCAGAAGCTATATAAGAGAACGAAAACACAGCTGATAATATTAACGTACATGCACAAGGCATTGAAGAATCCATCATTTCCCTATTCATTGTATTTCATCTCAGGTCAGAAGTGAGAATCACATTCAGCTATCGGAACAAATGCCTCATTGAGAATCATAATGTGCAATATACTGGTTGAAGAGAAAAAAAATTCAGTTTCATTTTTTGCACTCATGTCACCAAGCTTCCATATTTTTTGCATAACTAATTTTCATGGGCACCACTTCATTCAATTGAGTTTCTTACATCAATCTTGTTGGCAATTTAAGAAGCACTTCAAGACGGCCACTTTTCAGTGAAGACCTTTGGAAGATTTCACGGAATCTGGAGCAGATATGGAAGTTGAAACATATATCATCAGAGACAGCAAGAATGAAAGTGGTGTAATTGGTTTGACAAGAAGGGGTTTGGCTGTGCTTAGATAAATAACCGCAGTGGCACAGCACAGAAAACACATGAATATCATGAACAAGAGATGTGAGCAATGATGGAAGAAGATGAAGTACATACTCAACAAATTGTAAAATACATACAAGACAACATGCTTGACTTATATGCTGTTAAATTACAGCCACAACTTACACAACTTATACATGTAGACAGTGGTTTAGTATCTCAAACACAGATCAGCAGTTCTCAAGGACATGTATTAGTAAGAGGGACAGCCATGATTTGACGTTGTGACATCCTGTTTTACAGTTGTTGAGAGTCCTAAGCCATTTTCTGATTCAAATTCATAGTCTGGATTGAAGCCTTCAAGGACAACATCCCAAATTGAATATCTCTGTACGTCTAGAGATAAACTTGGCTATTATACTGCCCAGTTCTATTCTCTGTTTAAAGAGGATGGAATTAAGCACATCTTCTTCATAGTCTGGATTCAGTCATCTTGCCACATTGTGATGCGTCTTATGATGAATTGCAAAAAAATGAAACGTAAGAATATGATATTGGCGAAGCCTGCTAAAAATACAACTAAGTTATTTGAGAAATCACAGTAATAACCTTGTTTTTTGATGCTCATGATATTGCACATTTTCTGATGAATAACCTACTGCATTTTCATCGGTCTACCTTGAAGAAAATGCACCTAGATATATGCAGATGATAGGCCATCCACGTAACAAGCTTTTCTTGCTGGAGTATACAAGCAATATAATGGGTCATTTAGTTGTACAATCGCTGGACATATCCTTATTTTTGCTATACTATTAATAAGGTGGAGAAGTGATATCTGCCTCAGTGAAACAAAGCTTAAGCATATTCTAACTTGTTAGACTACTAGTATATAAAAAGCCTGAGTGAGTGACTGAGTGATCTGGTGAGTTGCTAAATATTCAAGAACATCATGGTGTTCTACGACTGGCAGTGTAGTTACAGTCAACCGGGATCTTGGATATCATCTTTTCAAGAGGAAAACAGATTGAAGATTACACCCCGAGATCAATGCATCGGTCACCAAGCATCAACACACATACACTACTGGGGCTACGTCACAAGTTGCTAAGATGCACCATGTATTTCTAAGGGCTCTGCGTGAGCTGCTGTGGAATGCTGGTAGAGGAGCCGGTGAAAATAGCTACCGGTAAATTTGAGGAAACGGTACAAACTCAAGTAATCCCGAACAAACAAATTGATATATGTTGCACACATATAGGGGTAATCATGTTACACTGTTCAGGGGAGTCAACAACCATCCCGAACTAGTTTTCATACTTTGTTTTTACCGTGAAAATGCCCAGATGTAGATGTTTGCCCCCAAGAATAGTAAATCTTGTAGTAAATTTTGTGTACACAAGAATATCATGATTTGTGTTCTAAAGACCCATTGACAACACATGATAACTACTAAGCAGAGCAGAGCAAAGATTTCTGGTGTACAATTGATCAAACATGTAATTCACCTGGCTAAGAAGTGACATAACATTGTACATGATCACTGTGAATCGTGTATCATGACGCAAGTGACTGGTCATTATAGTTCCAAAAGAATTATTGTCTACTAGTATGTTGTGGATGTATTCATGTACGTTCACAAAGCTTTAGTGAAGTGTTTTTCAGGTAACGATATTGAATATATCCAGTTGAACCTAGCATCGAAGATTAGATTTTACCAACGTGTTGGGTTTGCGAGACAAAACAGCAATGAGCTTGAAATCTCATCCCATACCAAACACATCACACCAATTTATGTTGCTAAACAGAGTAAACTAATTTGGTGTTCAAGAGTACATGCAAGCCAGCTCAAATTAGTGAATGTATTAATCTACTTCACATACTCCCGACCATTTGCCAAATGTACGAGTCATTCAGTTAGAACATTCAGAAACTCACAGCATACGAACTAGTACAAATACATCTCCTGCATTCAACACATGCATTTTCTCAAAGAAAAATAGGTTCTGCCACAGTCTTTCTATCCCAGGACTGTGGTTCTGCGTTTGGTAATGATACAATATGAATTGTTTTTTTCTGTCTAGTCTATCATTGTGGGCATTCCCATGTATTTATTAACACTGTGTTAACACCTGCTCAATTTGTCGTTCTCTGGCTCTGTCACTCTTATATTATTAAAGGCATATGTCAACCTACAGTAACCTGCTGACTGGAAAATGCGCTAAATTAAAACCCAGTGAAAATTAATCATTTTACAGTAGTTCTGAAAAACTATCCTCCCTAGTAAACCGGCATTGTTGAGACTACACTAGTAAACTGGTATTGTTTGGAACTTTCCCAGTAAATGCTCAACAAAAAAACATCTTTATCAAAGGTTACCAGACTGAACAACACAGACAAGCCAAATACTATTACAATCATACATATAAATTCTCCACACCTTTATAGCAATATCAACACTCCCTGATAGGGTACACATTTCCCAGCTCATTTTGCTATGCCTATGTATTGTATATATATACAAATATATAAAAAAACAAATATACAATCTACAAAAATACACAATGATAACAAGTATTTATTTTGCAAAGCAATAATCAGCAGTGAAAGTACAAACTAATATTCATATTAAACACAAGGAAATACGATAAGCCAACTACAGTTGAGGTTAAATAGAAATAAACTACACCATGACCAACATTAGCCTTCATAGAACCTTGGTAATTCATTGCCCAATATAACATGCCTCTCAACTCCTTCCTTTGTAATGGCAGCTAGACGTACAACGCCACCACTGGAACCATCACGATTCATGGCCAATGCCAAGGCTGAAACACAAAATTTAATACTTAAAATATAATTTTTATATTCATGTGATATTCAAAGAGCATATCATGTGTTATATTGACACATAGATCATACATCAAATTGAACAGAAGTAACAGAAAGCAAATGATGGAATTTCTTCATGGAACAACTTTTTTTGAACATTATTGTACTAGTGAGCGTTAAGCAGTGTGAAGTCGACAATATGATTGCATACATACATGTACTTATAAATGTTCCTAAGGAACATTCTTACCATAATTTTAGCTTTATTTATGTTTATCTTCCTTAAGCAATATTGATATACATGTAGTTCTCACAATACCAGTGTTCTCCCCAGAAAATTGTCTTGGGGTTGTGTCTAATTTACATATTAATTTGCATACTAATTAACATATGTACAGTTATATCTTTTAAATAAACAAGATCAACCCCTCAGCGTTGTCGGCAAGCTCTCAAGAGTAGCGCTCCGTACGCTAAAACGCTTTGGGGAGAACACTGAATACCACATGTTATTTTCAGCCAAATGCACTGTAACCTCAATATAATGAACACCATTATAATGAATACATAGCGTGTCTCCCGCTCACAACAAACCCAATGTATGTGCTTCATTATAGAGAACATTTCACTATAACAAACTAATTGTATGTCCTCCAAATAGTTCGTTATAACGAGACTACAGTGTACAACTAAACTTTAAATATCATATTATGCATTAGGTAATCAAACAACAATACTACTTACAGTGGGCACAGAACTTCAAACATTCTTCTTTTGTCATATCTTTTTTAAAAGAAGAATCTACATAGCCATAGATATAGGTACTTCCTGAACCACCAATTGAGAAGGGTTGCCGTAGTAACATGCCACCCAATGGAATGGTATATACCTATATTAAACAAAATACATTGATATACTCATGAGTTGTCGTAGTAATATGCCACTCAATGGTATGCAGGGATCTCGCCAGCGCAATGAGAGTGCCGGTCTCTCATGAATATTAATGAGCTATATGGATTACTTAGTCAATGAATATTAATGAGATCAGTCACAGTGCAAATATTTTTTTTATTGGAGTCAAACATTGTGTTTCACAATCTATGACTAGATCCTTTTAACTGAGACAGACCCCTGTTATAACTGATGGGGCTTCCGGATATGTAACGGGATTCTGCCTTTTGATTGATAAAATTACAAACAAATGAATAACAAGCAGCCAGTCGGCTGAGATAGCTCCGCTGTTAGCAATGCACATTTCAATTAAAGAACAGACTTGCAGTTTTCAACAAGAAGTAGAAAATATCTTTTACCAAAAATTACAAAAATATTCATCAAAATTAGAGAAATGAACATTAGAAATGAAAATTAGAGAAATCATCATGAAATGAACAAATCTGAGTTAGAACCACATGTAGTATCTATATATGTAATATCAAAGCAATTGGACTTTCGGTTTTCAACAAGTCAAAAATATCACTTTTTACCAAAAATGACAAAAATATTCACCAAAATTAGAGAATTAAAGATATCATTACAAAATGAACAAATCTGAGAGAGGTCCACATGTAGTACTTATATATGTAATATCAAAGCAATTGGACTTGTGGTTTTCAACAAGAAGTCGAAAATATCACTTTTTATCAAAAATGACAAAAATATTCACCAAAATTAGAGAATTAAAGATATCATCACGAAATGAACAAATCTGAGAGAGGTCCACATGTAGTACCTATATATGTAATAACAAAGCAATTGGACTCGCGGTTTTCAACAAGAAGTCGAAAATATCACTTTTTACCAAAAATATTCACCAAAATTAGAGAATTGAAGATATCATCATGAAATGAACAAATCTGAGAGAGGTCTACCCAAGGTACATATACACTAAGTATCAAAGCATTCAGGCTTGTAGTTTTCAAGAAGAAGTCGAAAAACTAAAACATTGACACGAACGACGGACAATCACTCGTATGATAAGCTCCGCTCGACAAAGTCGATAGCGGAGCTAAAAAACAGTAGTTACCTGACCACCTTCTCGTTCATCCCACCCTGCACAAATAATACCAGCAGTTAATTCATCTCTATAATTGTAACACATTTCTTTGAATAAATTTGCAGCTGTCTTAACTAATGGAGGTTCATTCATTTCAATACTACAAAGAAACAATAACAGAAATGTTGTTGTTAAACAAAATACACATTTCAGGCTTTGTCAATTAACTCTAATGGGTTTTGAGTGAATGAGTTATACGTGTATGAGAGGGAAAAGACCACTACTTGAATGTTGTAAAATCAAAATGTTGTTTATTTCCCAAGTGGTGGAGTACAAGATTGGTCACAAGAGGGCACTGTAACTATTAGCCAGTTTTTGGGCCAGGGAAAAAATATTTATGTTTCTGGTCATCACGCCCAACAAATACAGTATTTGCTCTATTAGAAGCACAGTGCTTATCTATTAGAAGCGTGTGTGCTTATGTAAATTACAGATGGGTGTCAACAGATGGTCAAAATAAGTCACAGTATAATATCTTTTCTGGCACTAACAGTGTAATTACCTGTGAAAATTAAGATGATATGACACAATATCTGCAACAGCCTGGGTAGCAGCAGCAGAACCAGATCTACAGCAGTAGATTCTTTCATGTACAGGTGTCAATTTATCTGTTACTCTATTTGCTATGTATGCACTAGTATAAAAACAGAAAACAAATATTTGAAAATTCACAACAATGAGCAAGAAGTTTGGGTAAATTACTACTGTAATCAGTTTCAAATTCTTTATTTTAGTATAAATGACAGCAGATAACAGTTTTCTTTTTTAGTATTTCTGGTTTTTGCCATTTTAGTAAAAAAAAAATGAAAACTGATTTGAAAATCAAATTTGAAAGAAATGCAAGCCATATTCATGTTCATGCTCACAGTAGTGAAATATGATGCTTTTTTACAATGTTAAAACAAGTGTAGTATTCATGCATTAACAATTTGATGTATTGTTTTTGCAAACTGCATTTCATGAAATTTATACAAAAAACAGTGATTTCAATCCCTTGAACCTGAATCTAGGGGCTGGCTAACTTCAGCATTGTACAGTCAAATTGCTATTGCAAATAGTACTGGTATTCAAAATTTTCCTCTAAGCAATGCAACCACCTGGCACAAAATTGTCATATTCAAATGCCACAAATCCATCTACATACAGTAGATGTTTTATTCTTGTTGGTGAGTAATGAAACTAGCATCCTTTTTTCCCTCAAGTCTGTTTTGTTTTAAATTACCTCCACTGACATGTTCAACACTACAATAATGTTACTACTGACTATAATATACTAATAATTCAACCACTAAAAAAATATATTAGTTTTTCATCCAACAATTCAGTCAAAATAATCATTTATTTGGGATGGTTTACAGTATTTTCACTGTAATCGTGTTTACAGGAGATAATTTCCTCTCCAACCAATAAAAACAATGAAGCCATTGATAAGCTAATCATGTTCATTGTATATTTAATCATAGGCAAATAAATATATTGCAGTGATCATTATGCCAAACATTTTTTTTAAATTGATATATGATATAACTGTGATATAATTAGTGTTTTTCCCAGACTTCTTGTTGAGCATCACGGCTAATGTGTATAACAATGCATCTAATTTACATAATTGTATTTGCATATAGATCAGTTGTGATACAAGTCAAAGTAACTGTTATTTTCATTATAAATTGAATATTAATAAACCTATTCGTAATTAATTAAAGGAAACATCAATCTAAGCAACATAATGACCCCTGAAGAAAAAGGTCCACAAATGTAGGAGAATGCAATTTAAAAATTTTTTATATCACTTTTCATTCTCTAGATATTCAACTTTATATCATTATTATGTAGTCAGCCATCTTGATTCTCAAGCAAAGGATTATGGGTAAAGTATGACATAGAATCTGTTGTCAAAAATTGAGAAAATTATTTCATCTATAACATGAGAAATACTGATGCAAATTAG